GCCGCCGTCGCGCTGCGTCACGGCGCCGTGCGTCACCGCCCCTGGCCCCTCCCCCACGGGGGGCCTCCGCGCGTCTGTATTAGCTTATATCGAGATGACGAACGGCATGCCAGCCAATGGGCAGCGAGGGCAGCCCAAAGGGCGGGAGGTGTGCGCCGAGAAAGGCGGTGTCCTGGCCAGGAGGGGAGCGACGGGGCTGAAACGAGGCCCAAGAGGCCCGCCCCCTCCTCAGTGGGATTGGCTGGGAGTGGGGGTGACGGGCAGTTGGCCAGACCCTGGGCTCGGGCGGAGGGCGGGGAAGGGGAGGGGCGCGCGCGGCGTAGCCAAGGGCAACGGGCCCAGGGGAGGCCGCGATTGGGCCTCCAGGCCCGCAGGGGGCAGTCTCGCGCCCGTCTCGCTCAGCAGCTGCAAGCCGAGTCACAATTCCTCATTCTGCCGTTCCAGATCCTTCCCGCCCCTCTGCCACGCCCCACCCAGGGCCTTGGCCCGTCAGGGTCCCCGACCATCCTGGGACAGAGGGTGTGCCCTCAGGCTGCTGGCATCCAGCGTTCTGCCCCGCCACTCAGAGCCGCTCGCTGTCAGATGAGACCCTGATAGGGAGGCGAGATCACCTTTAGCATGGAGAGAGAGGAGGCATATACCGCGATCGGCACAAAGGAGGCTGTCAATAAATGGGAGTTGTCGCCCTGACTTTCATTGTAACCCAGTCCATAAACTGTCCTGGATCAGGGTGAATTAATCGGAAGGGGTCCCGCACTCAGAAGACTCCCGGGTGGCAGAGACAAGACTTGTTACAGGAATTCAGACCACGGCACTCTCACGGGTGGAGTGTGGAGTTCAAGACGGGGTGTGGTGAGAGGAGAGCGGCGGCCAGATGTTTGGCCTGTGGAGGGAGTTTGGACTTGCGCTGAAAGCACGAGGGACCCATGGGAGGGAGTCACGACAGGGAGGGTCCTGGGGAGTTGGGGGTTTTGGAGATGTCTCTGGACTATCTATGGAGGGCAGAATGAAAGCAGTGGAACTAGAGGCCAGGAATCCAGGGAGGCTGCTGGGAGGGAGAGGCGGGGGACAGGAGGGTTTGCCCCAGGGCGGGGCTGTGGGGAGGGGAGGAAGTGTAGGTGGGAAGGTCGCCCTGGAGGCGGACTGAACTAGCCCAGAGACTGGCCGGTCTTGGGAGCCAGAGCGAGAGAGGAAAAATCCGGGACAAAACCTCGGACTGGGAGACAGGGCCTCAGAGAAGTCCAGAGTGGGACGCCCAGCACCAAGGCGCAGAGGCTGCACTACCAAGAGGCCTGACCTTAAGAGAGAAGTTCGGACTGGAGACCACGATTTAAAGATCACTGAAGATGGTAATTGATGTATGGGCACTAGTGACCTAGCCCGGGAGTGGGGGAAGGATGGAGGGAGACAGGGCTGACAGAACTCTTAAAAGTGGGGACACTGGCTTGGAGATAAAGAGTTGACAATTTGGAGGAAGCCGAGAAGGGGCAGCCAGAGGGAGAGGAGGAGAACCAGTAGAGCCTAGCGTCACCAACACAGAGTGGAGATGACAAATCCCATCTACTGCCTCTGACATGTGAGCAACAGCTTGGGTGCTGTGTGGAATGGCTGTGCCCCAATGCTGGTTCAGTCGTTTGTGTGAATGACTTCTTGGGTATGTAATATATACCAGGCTCTCTGCTGGAGGTGCTAGAAGTACAGCAGTCAACAAGGAAGACAAACTCCCTGCCCAGTCCCACACAATAAATAAGGAAATACAATGTAACTTGCTGATGAGGACCATGAGTGGGGGAAGCCAGCTAACAAGATGTCATGATGGGTTCAGAATTATTTCAGATGGAAAAGGCTTCTTTCATCAGGTAAGGTTGCAACGGATAGCTGAAAGCGTGAGGAGGTGAACCAGGATAGAAAGAGGTTTCCAGAAGAGGGACCGACATATGCCAAGGCCCTGAGGCAGGATCATTCACAGAATCACAAAAAAGGGCAAGAAAGTTAACAGGACTGGAGTGGAGTGAGCCAAGGAGGGTAGTGGGGGACCAAGTCCAAGGGGTAATGGGGAGTGGGTGGCTGTAGTATAAAGGTCGGTGTAAGGACTTCAGCTTTTACCCAAGCAATGTGGGAACCATGGGAGGTTTTTGAGGGGAGTGGGAGAAGAGGGATGTGATCTTTTCTCTCCCCCGCCTCTCCCTCTGTCTTTCTTTCTTTCATGTGTGCTCTAGGGCTGGAACTCAGGGCCTTACCTCTGACTGACAAGTACTCTACTACTGAGCTACACCCCCAGCCCTAGGGATGTCATCTGATTGGCTTTATGAGGATCCCTCTGGCAGTTGTGTGAAAAACAGTCAGTGGGGGGTAGGGCGTGGTCAGGGGAATCATGAGAAGTTGCTTCCATAGTCCAGGTAAGAGATGAAAGTGGACAGGCAGCAGGGCATGGTGGCGCACGCCTGTAATCCCAGCGCTTGGGATGCTGAGGCAGGAGGATTGTTGCAAGTTCGAGGCCAGCCTGAGTTACAAAGTGAGCTCAAGGGCAGCCTGAACTTCATAGCGAGACCCTGTCTCAAAAAGAAAAAAAAAAAAAAAACTGGACAGGCAACTGGCCGTGATGGTGCAAGGCTGGCTTTAATCCCACCCCCTTGGGAGGCTGAGGCAGGAGGATCACAAGTTCTAGCCCAGCCAAGGTAACAGTGATTTAAAGAGACCTTGTCTCAAAATATAAAATAACAGCTAGCTGGTGCATCCCTGTAGTCCTAGTACTTGGGAGGCTGAAACAAAAGGATTGCCATGAGTTCGAGGCCAGCCTAGGCTACATAGTGAGTTTCTGTCTCAAAAAAAAAAAAAAAATCAAAATATAAACTATAAAGTGCTAGGGATGAAGTTCATTGTGAAGGCCCTGGGCTCAATCCCCGACACAACAAGGTGGAGGGCTGAGACAGAGCAGTCAAAGGGAAGGGAAAAAAAAACCAGACAAATGGGGTGTCCTGAAAACCAAGTGAAGAAAGAGTTTCAGGAAACGGAGTGGCTCTGCAGTGCTGCCGCTGAGGACTGACAATTCCATTAGATCTGGCACCATGGAGACCCCTAGTGAACACAAGAGGTGTCAGTGAAGAGGGTCCCAGGGTGAAAACCTGCTTGGAGAAGTGGCCAAGGGGAAACCAGGAGGACAAGCTGGAGGCAGCGAGTTTAGACAATTCTTCTGAGAAATTCTGCTGAAAAGGGAAGGAAATGAATGAGCAGTAGCTGGGAAGGAGGTAGAGTGTTTAGTTTTTAAGATGCAAGAAATAATATGGTACTAGGCTTCAGGGCCATTGGTGACACAGGAGAGTGAGAGGAGAGCCTCAGACGCCCTGGAGGGGTTGTGGGTTGGGGTCAAGGGCAGGACGGGATCCAGCCCTTACAGAGGGGCCCCCAGAGTGCGGCTAGGACCCCAGGAAGTTTTTATTTGCTTACATTCTCTTATTAACACACATATGGTTTTCTCCTAAATGACTTTCCCATTTTTTCTTCTCCTTCTTCTTCTTCTTCTTCTTCTTTTTTTTTTTTTTTTTTTTGTCTCTTTGAGACGGGGCCTCATTATGCACTTCAGGCTGGTTTTGAACTTACTTTGTAGCCCAGGCTGGCCTCAAACTCGCAACGATCCTCCTGCCTCAGCCTCCCAGGTGCTGGGATTACAAGCATGCACCACCACGCCCAGCATTATTTCTTCTTTATATGACAGGATTTTGATACTGATTTTTTAAAACTTATGTGTGTAAGTAGCTCACATTGCCTAGGAATTTCACTTCAAAATGGGGAAGGGACAGTGCAAAAGACTCTTTGCTTTCTAGTGCTGGAAATAGAACCCAGGACCTTGTTCATGCTGAGCATATGCTCTGCCACTGAACGACACCCTCAGCCCTCAATACCCTTGCTTTCTTTTTCTTTCTTCCTGTCTCTCACTTTCTCTCTCACAGGGTCTTGTTATGTGGTTCAGGCTGCTCTTAAACTCACTATGTAGCCTCAAACTGTTGGTGATCCGCCTGCTTCAGCCTTCTGATTGCTGGGATTATAGGCATGCACCATCATTCGCTGCCCATATTCTTTATTTTAAAAAGGAGATACAGGACTGACAGGACTGTACTCCATTGTTGTAGGCTTCCTCTGAAGCCATTATAAGGCCTGTGGGGTTGAATAAGCACAGGAAGAACACTTTCCATCAGCCAGGCAGCAGGGAGGTGCTTCTTTGGTGTCCCTTTAGCCGCCAACATAATGGATGGCAGTGTAACTAGTGAAAGTCTCTGCACTCCTTTCTCAGTGCTGTGATTCAACTACTACAGGTGGGATAAATCCTGGAAGGCTCCCTGAAAGAGGAAAGGAGGCAAAGAGCTCCTTACTAATTTTCGTTCTTTGTTGAGCAAGTCTACAATGCTGGGAGGTATGCCAAGCTAGTTTATCTTCACTACAATCCCGACTCAAGGGGGTGAAGTTACTTAGCTAAGGTCACACAGCAAGGCAGGGTTTGAACCCTTGTCTGAGTGATTGCAAAGCCGATAGGTCTCAGAGATGAGGGGAAGGAAGAAGGGGGAGGAGCCCTCTGTGACAGTTGTCTCCGAATGAGCATAAACAGGATGTGGTGGTGGATGAAACCTTTCCCCCTACCCCATAGCCCGCCCCCTGCAGCCCTGTTCCCCACCCTTACAGGACAGCGGAACTGAGAAAAGAAGAGGACTGGGGACAGAAAACATCATGGTCAGGGGCCAGGGGTTGATTAGGAAGGGTGAGGGGTGCTTGGGTGACAGTCAGCTGCGGGGTGGAGATCACAGCGGGGAAGGGGACCCAAGGGCAGCACTCTGGGGAGAGATGGTGATTGAGGGGAGCTAGCCCCAGGCAAACAGATCCCTGGGGTCCCAGCCGAGGAGAGAGGGCTGGGTTCCAGCCTCTGCCCCAGTCCCCTCTGGCTGTTTGTCCTGGAGGAGGGGGAGCAGCATCTGCCTCCAGTTCACAGAGGCCTCTGGAGGGCTGCAGGGACCTTTGTGTCTTCATTCATGGCTGGAGAAGCTGAGGCCTGGGGATGAGGTGGGTGGAGGTGGTAGGGACCAGCGCCGGCCACTCAGCTCAGCTCTCCTTTGCCCCTCCGACAGTCGGACTCCCTGGTCGTGTGTGAGGTGGACCCAGCACTGAAGGAAAAGCTGAGGAAATTCCGCTTCCGAAAAGAGACAGACAATGCAGCCATTATAAGTGAGTGACCTCTTCCTCCTCGAGCAGGGACAAGCAAGGAGGGCTGGGCTAGTGTCCCTTTGGGATGGGAGGGACTTCTAACCCCTGTGTGCCATCCCTCCCCAGTGAAGGTGGACAAAGACCGGCAGATGGTGGTGCTGGAGGAAGAATTTCAGGTGAGGGGTGGGGCGGGACTAGGAGACCACAGAAGCTGGGACTGAAGTCAAGAGCCTGGCACTGCAACCAGCAAGGCCTGGAGGTCAAATTCCAGCCCAGTGGCAACTGTAGGCAAGGGACTTTGCATAGACAGTCTGTCCCCTTGCCTGTGAAGTCTGGAAAACAGCCCTAAGTCATAGGATCGTTTGCAGGTCCAATGATTTAATGTTTGTCATGGGTTTAAAAAGGCCTGGCACATAGTACTTGCTCAATAAAGTGATAATGCTAATGATAACAGTTCATTAGCACCTAGGTAAATGGAAGAGTTTCTAGGTAAGTTAACAAAAAGCCAGCAGAAATCTTTTATGATCAAGTAGACCCCTCGAAGCCTTGCTGTGTTTTTCAGTAACATGGTGCCAATCATAAGCTTCTTTCACAGTATTGGGGTGAGGGTTGATGATGGGGGTCACAGAGCCTGAGGCTGAGCTGATTGACAGCAGAGGGGTCCAGCTAGGAGCTGGGCTCCCTTGTGCCCTCTGAAAGGAAGTAATGAAGTGGTTACCATGGGAACACAGATTTAAATCTGAACTCTCCTGCTTACTGTCTATGCAACCTGGGGCAAGGCCTTTGACTTCTCAGAGCCTCAGTTTCCTGAGCTGTCAAGTGGGTATAATAATAGGAATTACCCTGTAGGACTCTGCAGTAAATTAAACCACGTTTCTGAGAACAGTGCCTCGGCACACAGCAAGTGCTCATCTAGCGGTGACCATTTGTTGTCTTTTCTCCCACGTATATTGTTGGCCTCAGGACATTTCCCCAGAGGAACTTAAATCGGAGTTGCCAGAGAGACAACCAAGGTACGCTGGGGGAAGGGAAGGAAGGCCCAGGCTGTGGGGAGGGTAATGATGGAGGCACACACTGAGGGACTGCCTGGGTTCGGGCCCTTGCCAGGGGCTCAGGATCTCTGTGTTTGATCCAGGGGTTCATGTTGTAAAACACAATTTTATTGTGCAGTATTATCTTATTGCAGAATTTTACACTGATAGCTTATACGTAATATTGGTGTAGAGTTTACTTTTTTTTTGGCACATACTTTGTCAGTGTTTGGTTTTGATGTAATACGGGTGGCAGCAGCTACTTCTCCTCCTCTCCCTCCTCCTCCTCTTCTTCCTCCTCCTCCTTTCTCTGTGGTACTGGGGGTTGAACCCAGGGAGTGCTGAGCTAAGTCCCCAGCCTTACTTTATATATTGGTTGAAAATTTTGAGACAGGGTCTTGCTAAATTGCCCAGGCTGGGCTTGAATTTGCAATTCTGTTGCCTCAGCCTCCTGAGTACCTGGAATTACAGGTGTGCACTACTGTGCCTGACTCTATACTGGTTTTGTTTTTTAAAAATGAAATTTCCCTTCTTTTTCAATGCTGGGGAATGCTTTGGGTAGCAAAGGGAATTTTTTCCCTTTTTTTGTGGGGGGGATGTGGTGCTGGGATCGAACCCAGGGCCTTACGCACATTACTAATTAGGTAGATTCTGTGGGAAGCTGTGTGAGCCCGGCGGGTTGTTGATTTTGGAAGGCCTCTTTGACCCTGTCCACAAAACTGGTCTGTCCCTATTTTTCATTTTGTCTAAGTTCATTTTTTGGTTTGGGTCTCTAGGATTCCGAGCCTCAGTCTCAGGCTGTAGGTCTCAGTCAAGATTGGCTTTGTGGGCATTTGACATCTGCACAGGGTCCTGCACCTAGATGGGGGCCTCGGCTTGGGGTTAATGCTGACACTGGGTTTTTGTTTTTTTCCTTTTGCAGTGATGGAGCTGGAACCCAGGGCCTGATACATGCTAGGCCTGATACATACATCCACACTGTATCACGGAGCTAAATTCTCAGCCCTTTAAACATTTTTAATTTGAGGTGGTCTTGCGCCCAGGGTAGCCTCAAACTTGCAATCCTCCTGCCTCAGCCTCTGGAGCTGTGCACCATTGTCCCAGGCTAATGCTGACATTCTTTGTGGTTTTTCTTTGTTTTTTTTTTTCCTTTATTTTATTTATTTTTTTTTTATTTTAAAGAGTAAAAGAAGGATAACATAGTCATGGGGGGACTTACCAAATTACAGAGAAAGTGGTAGGAAATTATCAATGGTTACTGTTTTACATATTGTTATCTACAAGATAGTTTCTCAGGAAAACAAATTGTGGTTTTTCTTTGCATTTGTGTTTTGCATGGAGTCTGATGGGACAATGGAACATGGGGGTCCCACCTCCTGCTGCTGCTTCCAGCAAATTCTCAGTCGTGGCTCTGAGGCAGAAGACAACTTCCCCCTCAGGCCCCTGCTGGTGTGGGGAGGTCAGGGCCAGCATCCACCTAGAATCACAAGTTTGAGGTCACCCAGGGCCTCATGCATGTTAGGCAAGTGGTCTCCCGCTGAGCCACACCCCTGCCATGACAATTATTATTTGTAATCATTTGTTGAGTTTCAAATGAATACCGTGGATCCCAGTCATTAACCTTAGTCTCAGTCAAGATTAAACATCATGGATGGGTCCAGGTGTGGTGATGCACACCTGTGATCCTAGCACTCTGGGAGGCTGAGGCAGGGGAGTTGAAAGTTTGAGCTCAGCTCAGGTGATTTAGTGGCTCACCAAAAATAATCAGGCTAGGGATTTAGCTCAGTGCATAGGCCCTGAATTCAATCCTCATTATCATAAAACAAACACACAAACAAACTTGTAGACTGGGGGAGTGGCTATGGGGCTTGGACTCCAGGCCCAAGTCCTGAGTTTGAATTCCTTTTCCTGGGCGTAGGTTCGTGGTCTACAGCTACAAGTATGTGCACGAGGATGGCCGGGTTTCCTACCCTTTGTGTTTCATCTTCTCCAGCCCTGTGGGTGAGACACAGCCCTACCTGCCCTGAGGAGTGGGTCTTAGATCCTGACTGGGGATGTGTGAGCGTGTGCTTGGGCACCTGGGTTAGAATGTACGGGTGTGAGACTGTGTATTTGTGCAACTGTGTACAGACACCTGTGTTAGGAGTGCTTAACCTAGAGTGGGACATGGTGGAGCATGCCTCTACTCCCACCACTCAGGGGGGCTGAGGCAGGAGGACCTCTGAGTTTGAGGCCAACCTCGGATATGTAGTGAGTTCAAGGCCAGCCTGAAATACATAGAGTGAGACTCTAAACAAAACAAAACAGAAGAGAACCAAACCAATCCAAACCAGAATGCTTAGCCTACTATGCACAAGACCCCCAGGTTCCATCCCCAGCACAACACCACCATGAAAGAGAGAGAGAGAGAGAGAGAGAGGAAAAACAAGAGTGCACATGTGAGAGGCCGCACATGATGGGACAAGGATGCGGGTATGTGGTGTGTAAGGGCAGTGAGGTGACTGTGGTGGCTTGGATTGATTCATCAAGAGCCCACCTGTCCTTATTCTGAGGCAGAAGACAACTTCCCCCTTCCCTTTGCCCACCTACCCCTATATCTTGTCCAGAGACCCTCACAGTAACTTGAAGATCCCAAACAAACTTAAAATCCTGAGTACAGTCTTCAGAGACCTCTTAGAACAGTTCCCAAGACCCTCCCCAAACTGCCCAGGCTGCAGGACATCGCGAAAGCTTTACAGAGCATGCCTGGACCCCCGTGACGTGCCCTTCTGTCTTCCGTGCAGGCTGTAAGCCTGAACAGCAGATGATGTACGCGGGAAGTAAGAACAGGCTCGTGCAGACGGCGGAGCTCACAAAGGTCCTGGCCAGCCTCAGCTCTGGAGTATATGGGAGATAGGGTGGGGGCCCGGACCCCTGGGTGGGAGGGAGGAGGCTGGGCCCGGACCCCTGGGTGTGAGGGAGGAGGGCTGGGGCTTGCACTCCTGCGTCTTAGGGGTCTGGAGTCCTCACCAGATCATGACGCTAAGACCTCTGTCTGCCCAGGTGTTTGAAATCCGCACCACAGATGACCTCACTGAGGCCTGGCTTCGAGAGAAGTTGTCTTTTTTTCGTTGACCTCTGAGTCAGGAATTTGAATTCCTGATGTTTGAGTCCCCAAGGGAACTGAAGACTCAGACCCTTAAGATGAGAACATCCAAAACCATAAAGAGATTAAAAATGCAAGAACTCAGATCCTGACTCCATTTCTGCCCCTCATCGCGGGCGGTAGCCGGCAGTGCCCGCAGTATCTCCGTACGACCGGCAGGGGGCGAGCAGACCTAGTGGACGGGCGCTGAGATCCCGGAGAAAAGGACACCTGTTTCTCGGAAGGGGAGGGGCCTGTAGAATTTCCTGGGGGGAAGGGGTGGGGAGCGAGGGAGGCCTAGGTCTTCTGGAGGACTTGAGGGGGGGATGTCTGAGTCTATGGAGGGGTCTCTCCTAAGGGAACAAGGCCACCGGAGAGTAAAGAACGCAGATGGCCGTTTTCCCCGCCTGTCTCCTCGTCCCCTGGGCTCTGGGTGCTAGCGGGCACCAGCTGGCACTGAATGCCACTTTTCTCAGCTAAGGCCGCAGGCAGAAAGAACTTAAAGGCCAAAAAGTTGTCAAAGAATCAAATATAATTGCTTCAAGGCTTGGAGTTGCTGGGGGTGGACAGTTTAGGTGATTGGATAGGCCTGGGGGCCCAGGGCTATGGGAGGTAGAGAGGATACAGGTTCCTCAGTGGACCATAGAGGGGTTGAAGGGTCAGGGAAGGGGCTCCCAGCCTACCTCATTCGTCCCTTTCTTCTGGCATCTCTGAGCACTGTACTGTCTCATGCCTCAGTCTCTGTCTTCAGGACCTTTATTGAGCACCTATGGTATACCAGGCTCTGAGAATCCTGAGATAGGCAGTTTTCACCAAGATGAATCACACCCTTCCCAGCATCTCTCTGCTTCTCCTCTGTCTCTCATGCCTCCTCTCTCTATTCCCAGGTTCAGGGACTTGGAAAGCCCTCCCCCCCACTTCTGTCCAGGTACCCTGTGGAGAGGTGGCTGTTGCTATGGTAACAGTGACACCCTGACCTTGGGCCTGGGCTGTCCCTTCCTCAACCCTGGCACTCTTTGGGGAGGGTCGAAAAGCCTAGCTCTAACCCTACTTCTTCCCTCCCAGCCATAACACCAGATCTTGTTCATCAGCTCACCCTGCCCTGTCCCTTGCCACCGTATCTCTGGTCAGATCAACCCCTTGGCATGAGGAACTCAGAGCTGTTCTGTATGGGGGCATAAGGAAATGGCCTCTGCCCTCATTTGGAGGTGGATGGGTTGAGCTCTTCTCAGCACCCTCTGCCTGCCCTCATTTCCCCAACTACCCCTCTGTCTCAGCCCCAGTCCCTGATGGCTGGAGATGGAAAGGGAGGACAGCTGGGGTTAGATATTAAGAGGACAAGGAGTGACCTGCAGAGGTCAGTGGGGTGAAGGGACTTGTCCAAGGTCCTGCACTTTCTTTTTTTTTTTTTGTTTTTCTCTGGTACTGGGAACCGAACTCACGACCTTGCGCTTGCCAGGCAGGCGCTTTGCCGCTGAGCTAAATCCCCAGCCCCAAGGTCCTGCACTTTCATAAGCAGATGAATGGCAATAACTAACTTTTCTATTGAGAGCTTGTTATGTACCAGGTACTTCTACAAGTTCTTTACAGGTATTAACTCATTTAGAAGGTGCTGTTATTACCCCCAATTAAAGATGAAGAAACTGAGGCACAGAAGCCAAGGTTAGCTGCTTGAAGCCACAGGGCCAGTGGTCTGATACTATAATTAGAATTCAAGCCTCAGGCTACCCTGTGATCAACTGACAATACCTTTTCCTAGGCAAGATATTTAGGGAACCATCACCTCTTCCTCCTCTTCTCCTTCCTCCCTGAGGTTCCCACCCCTCCACAGTTGCATTTCTGTCTGCAGGGAGGCTCTGCTTGTAAATAATCCAATCAGAGAGGGCTTTGCACAAGGACTTGTCCAATAGGAGCAAAAGGTTTGGAAAGTAAGAACCAATCGAAGAGGGTGACTCAGGAGAATGGGTATGGCTAGGATTGTGGAAGGACCAATCAGAGAGGCCAGAATAAAGCATGTTCTCCAATGAAGAGTGAGCACATAGGGTGTGGCTTTGAGATTGGGAGGACTCTTTGGAGGGGTGCATAAACTGGATACCACTTCTTTTAGTTTCACCACCCTGCCTTTTCTGTTCTCACAGATCTGAGCTCTGGGCCCTAGATATTCACCGGGAGACTTCTCCTTCTTAACTGTGGATGTGAGGGGGGGGGGTGTCATGCTGGACAGGCTGAGTTTGTTTAGGGGGTGATTGGTGGTAGGAGACCTAGCACAGGCATCAGGGGCCATGCCTATACTCAAAGTTAAGAGGAATGGCATTGGGACGGGGTCTTCGGCTTGCAGTCAGGGCCTAGGTTGAGGAAGTGTTCTGAATGTTGTAGAGTTTGTGGTGGTCTCTTAAGATAGAAGTACGGTATGGGCCTCATCTGAATGACTGTCCCTTAGGTCAGATAGGGCCTGAGTTTCTGTTCTGAGGGCAGAACCTGAGGGACAGAGGGTGGAGCATAGTCTTGGGAGCAGGGCCTAAATTGTGGAGGCATAGGGTAGGATGTGGCTCTGTATTAGAAGGTCTGGGGCAGAAATTAGGGCCCCACGGAAATGACCACACTGTTTACCTCCACGTGTGGCTCAACTCTTGAGGCCTAGAGCCAGGTGTGGTGGCGCACGCCTGCAATCCCAGCACTCGGGACGCTGAGGCAGGAGGATCTTTGCGAGTTCGAGACCAGCCTGGGCTCCAAAGTGAGCTCAAGGCCAGCCTGAACTGCACAGGGAGACCCTGTCTCAAAAAAGACAAAAAAAGACAAACAAACAAACAAACAACTCTTGAAGCCAATTTAGGGTCCCTGGCCTTCCAGGACATTCCACAGCAGCTGGGACATAGCGCTCCCTTTTGGTGACTCCAGGCTGGGAAGTTGTTTATTCCTTACTGTGGTGCCTGAAGGGGGTGCTGCGCCCCACATCACTCTCCCAAGTGGTGTTCAAGAGCACACAAACATTTCCTGAGCACCTACTGTGTGTCAATCTCTACTCAGGGCCCTGAAGGAAATGTGTGCCCATGCTATTGGCGAGGCTTAGATTTCAATGACTAGATAATAATCACGATGGACTACTAAGTAAACAATAAACAAGTAAACCAGGAAACAAACGAGACCCTTCCAGAGCGTGAAATGTGCTCTGGATAATGGAGGTGACGTGACAGAAGGCCTGGTGGGACCGTCTGGGGTCCCTTCCTGCCTCTTAGTGTCTGGCAGAGTCCTCCCCCCACCAAGTTTATTATGAAAGATTGCAAACATGCTGCAAAGGAGAAATGAGTTTATAATAAACAAGCATCTACCCAGCACCTAGATTCTATCATGAACATTTCACTAGCCGTCCTTGCTTCATTACATAGCCAGCCGTCTCCCCATCTATCAGTCCGCCTTCTTTTTTGTGTATTTCAAAGTAGTTTGCAGGTCCCAGTGGGAGCCTAGGGGTGTATGTGTGTGTACGCGTGTGCGCGCGTGTGTGTGCATGCGTGCACGTGTGTGTGTAAATTGGGGATGGAAAAGACAAGTCTCTCTGGAGAGATTATATCTAAGATGTGAATGAGAAGAGGGGGTGGGTCACAGAGAAAGAAGAGAGCAAAAGCCCAGGGGCCGTGATGAGCCTGTGTGCTGGAGAAACAAAGTCCTCATTGAAGCTAGAAGACAAGAGGGTCAGGAAAGAGGTCAAGAGGGGCACAGGGGTCAGGGCTTACGGAGCCGGAGAGACTCTGTCAGTGAGGCTGTTTCTACCTAGGCCTCAGACTGGTTTCTTCATCTTCCTGGGCAGCTGTCTCTTTTTCCTCATCCTCTTCCTTTCTACTCCTGTCCGGACCTGCCTTTGCTCCTCTTTCTGCTTCATTTGCACCCTGTTCCTCCACTTACTGCCCGTGTGACCTTGTGCAAATGACTAATCCTCTCTGTGCCTCAAGTTTCCTAATATGTAAAATGGGGGCTTTTCCTCAGCTGGTTGGTTGTGAAGACTGGATGAAGTAACATATGTAAAATCCTTGGGGCCATTGCTGGCACATAGTAGCGCTACATGCATGTTCACTTTTGATGTTATTCCTTCCCCCACTTCTGTGCTGCCAGCCCTGGACCCCCATGCCCTAGCAAGGAGCACTAGGAACCATGAGAGGGGTGAGAATAGTGCATGGGGGTGACAGGAGGGATCTGGAGCTGGGAATGTCCCTTGGGGCATTTCACGATGTGAGTGGGGTCAGGGTTCACAGAGGGTGGATCTGCGGAGGTGTTTGCTCTGGGGTGGAGGCAGGAATAATGCCTGGGAGGGGTTTGGGGGAGAGCCTCCATCCAGTGGGATCTAAAATAAGAAGGGACTGAGATTCCAGAGATCTGGGGATGGTGATAAAACTTTTTTTTTTTTTTCAGTACTTGGGTTTGAACCTAGGGTTTTTGCACTGAGCAACATCCTCGGCCCTTTTAACTTTGTTTTCCTTGTTTGTTTGTTTTTGTCTTTTTGAGACAGGGTTTCACTATGTAGTTTAGGCTGGTCTTGAACTCACTTTGTAGCCCAGGCTGGCCTCGAACTTGCAATGATCCTCCTGCCTCAGCCTCCTGAGTGCTGGTATTACAGGCGTGTACCACCACACTTGGCTAAATTTTTAATAATAATAATAATAATTATTATATTTTGGCAAGCGCAAGGTCGTGAGTTCGGTTCCCAGTACCGGAGAAAAACCAAAAAACCAAAAAAAAAAAAAAATTATTATTTTTTTTGAGATAGGGTCTGGTTATGTAGTTCAGGCTGGCCTTGAACCCACTGTATAGCCCAGGCTGGCTTCAAACTCCTGGTGATCTGCCTGCCTCAGCCTTCCAAGTGCTGTAACTATAGGAGTGTGCCATCATGCCTAGCAGCCCTTTTTTATTTTTTGAGACATGGTATTGGTAAGTTGCTAAATTGCCCAGCCTGGGCTTGAACTTGTGATCCTCCTGCCTCAGCCTCCCAAGTGCTGGCATTAAAATTGCGCACTACCATGTCCAGGTAAGATAGATTTTGAAGGGAGACCTTTCTGAGTTGAGGGCCTTGTGAGCTCAGAAAGAGATAGTGCTTAGTCGGAGATACTCAGTGGTG